GGGAGAAAGTACTGGGCTATGTATAATAACTCCAAAATACGCAAGAAAAGATCAAGAAAGTCCAGGCTGCAGAAATCCATTAAAAAGGAAAAGAATAAATTTAATTTATCCCATTAAACAAATGGAAAAAAATCCAGTGGCAGACCTAATACAGATGTTTTGCAATATAGTGGGAAAATGAAGACATTTTCAAGCAGCAAGGCTTGCAAGTCATCGTCTTGAAATGCTTAGATCAGGTGGCACTCTCTGTTAGAAAAGTAAGCTCTGTAATGGTATTGATTGCTTCCAAGGCCATATTAGAGATGAAGACAAGTCCCAGGAGAGAGGTTGTTGTCACCTTGACCTTGGGTCAGAGCTGGACCACTGACCCCTGACACCCAGGACTTCTGCACTGCATCGTGATATCTTTCATGCCTACAGACAAAGTCAGCAGGGGACATGTGTCAATGTGGCCCTTGCCAAATCAGAATTGACTGGCCTGTAGGAAGCTGGAGAGCAGCGGGAAATGTGGGTTAAAGTATGTCAATAATGTTTCACAAGAACAATTTCTCCCAAGAATTGTAGCTGTTGGAATGTTTTGACATTTATTCGGTAGAGAAATGTAGCATGTTTTGTGAAGCACTTCAAGAGAGCTGCTGCTAACTGCCGCGGTGTATTGATCTTCCTGTTAAATTGCATGGGCACACTTGGGAGATCATTGAGATTCAGGCAACAGGACAGAAAGGATCGGCTGCACCCGATGGTCACTAATGGTAATTGGTTTCGATCCTTGCACTTGAAGAAGCCGTGATTTACTTGGTTCACAGATGAATTGTAGACACTAAATATTTTGAAAAGAAAATATACTGTGATTTCTTTTTCTCATGTCATTTACAAATTATTGCCTCCACTTTGAATGTTTCATATAAAGTATAGAAATCCACATGACTCAATATAAGAACATGCTAAGCAAAAGTTCAAGGAATTCCCTCTTACCTGTAAAGCTCATATTGGTGCATAGCAAATGAACTTTCTGATCATGATATAAATGAGATAATTAAATAATTATAAAAAAATTTAGCACGACCTTAAAAATCCATCAACACTCTTAAGCCTTCCTATAATCTCAATAAATCATTTTTACACTACACACAGTCTTCTCTCTACCCCATTTGGTGATGTATCATCACAGTCTTAACACAATGAATGTTAAAAAGAAGAGTATTGAAGGCAACTACAAAAGTAGAACAATGTAGACAGGTATGGCTAGCAATGTAATATTGAAGTAAATTATACTGGAATGAAGAATCTGATATGAAAATTGGATACTAATGTTAATATCAGAGTAAATTATTGCTACGATACAGGAGCTGATATAAAAATTGGAGTATACTTCCAAAAATGAACAAGATGATAATGCTGCCAAAATTCATGCCACACATGATTTTCAAAGCAGATTTTAAAGGGTTTCTGTAGCTTTCTGCTTTTTACAAGATACTTTGCTAAGTATATGTACATAATTACATGAAAGCAAAAATATTCAGTAATGACGGCTGCTTTAATACAAAGAAATTCATATATACTAAGATTCTGGGAAGGAAACAGTTCTGTAATTCTTTTAATCTGTTTCAAGTACACGTGTCCTTTATGATACATACTACATTCCTACGGGTTTTTAAAGGACAAAAGGGTTTTCAGTTTTTGTTCTGTGTTTTTTTTCCCTTCAATGGAGAGGTCAGCAGTTTCTCCAAACAGCTGAGTTTCATGCATAAACTTGCATAAAATATCCATAAAATCTATATAGCACTTTGACAAATAGAAACTAGCACAATATAAAGTAACAACATATATTGTTTCTTTGTTAACTAAGATCAAAATTATGCCTATCTGGAGTATTTTGGTTAAAATGACTGTAAATAGATTGCAAATTCAATTACAGCCAAATCATGCATCGTAGAATTTATATTATCCAGAACTAAAATAGATAAAATATAGAAAAATGAATGCCTGGATGCTACTGAAAGTTCAGTATAACAGCAATATGGCATTTTCAATTGCTGCACAAGTCTCAAATTTCTGAAATATTTACAATCCTTAGATAATGACAACCTCAGGAGAAAATCAAGAAAACAGACGGTATACAGGAGATAGCCTGAGGCAACCAGTGATGAGGTCAGATCTATACAGTATGTGTGCTTTACATGAAAAACGCTCTACTAAAATGTCTTTGCGTACTGCGTAGAGCTTTGGGATGTAGCAGGTATTCACTAGGGGAAGGTAAGGATTATTTACTAGGATCAGTAACATGGAATTCAATATTAAAACCGACAAAGGTTATCATCTATTACACATTAAATTCACCACAGTTGTTTGACAACTCTCATAGCAACGGATTCCACCCTTAACAATTCAAAGCAATCTTTCAGATTAAAGTTCATGTGATCACTTTAAAGAACTATTCATTGTTAATCAAGCAATATTGCTTCAGGCATCGTGTTTGTCTTTCACTTCAGGCTATTTGGTTGATTGCAGAAAATGCTGAATTTTTCTGTGTGTGTGTGCAGAGCTTTGTGTCTGCTAGGTGGAAGTGACAGGTGAGGCAGAGGGGAGGGGGGATAGGAGAACTGATTGAATGCACTGCAAAAGCGGTAAATAAAGTCCCAGCGGCTGAGTGTTTTGGTGGGCACGATGAGAAGTGTGTTCTGCCTTAATAATTGTACAATTTAATTTGGTAGGACATTAACCAGTGATGGTATCCTTAAAATATAAAATATCCATTTAAAACACCTAATTTTATATACACATTCATGTATGTTTCTAAAATTGCCCAGATTATCTTGATCATGCTGTACTTCACACGTTTTCTAGACGGAGCTGTTACTCACAGAAAGGTACTTCTCAGAGGAATTAAGAAAATTCGACCCCAACAGTCAATGGCATATAAATCCTCTTTTTTTCTCCCCATTTGGGTATGTCTTACTCTCGATTTAGCTATAATCCAAAAGTTTAACAGATGCAATATCCACTACAATAACACTGTAGGGAGGAAAGACTAAAGAAGCTGGGACTGTTACCTGCTCAGACACTGCTGTTGAAGACCCTAGAATGCTCACTCCAGTGACCTAACATCTGCAGCAGTGTTCAGCATCCTTAAAATACTTGTCCTTTTGAGGAAAGTGGTCATTCTGCAATGCTGCCCTAACATCCAACCAGGTGCTGAATCCAAACTCAAATGAGAGAATGCTTGCTTCAGATGTCACTACAAGTGCCAGAATGGATCCTCTGTTGATGTCCATGAAGAGCCCTGCTTGCAGGTCACAGCACAGCCCTTAAATAGGAGTGAAAGATAAATGAATCGTAGTGCAGGCTTGTAAACACTGGAAGTGGATAGCCCATCAAGATCTCTTCAAGAAACAAGGTGGAAACCATACAGGAGTGTCTGAAGTAATTTGTATTTCTTGATTTAAGGAATTCTGCATTCAAAACCCCTCTTTAACGATAATAGTTTTTTCATTAGAAAATGTCAATTTGTTTGAAATTAAGCTGTGTTTTGGAAAAAAAGTGGTTTGGAATAACTTTCTGATTCAAAAGTCTTATAGACAAAGATTTTTTTAAGTGCTCAAATATCCCAATTTGCAATTTTTAATAAAAATTTACAAATTTGGCTACAGTTGAAAATATTCCTCCATTATGTGCTGAATAAGAATAGTTTATAAAGAACTAAACCCTAAAATAATGCTTTAAAATTACTGGAATTATACACAGTATTTTACCTAACTACATTTTTTCCTGCAGTCCATCAGTTTGCATGAATTCCATAATCCTGAAAGAAACCAGACATTGGAAATTTGTATTTTTTGGGCAATATCTGTTCTACTCAGCTATCCGTACCATGATGGTTTCCAGTAGAAAAGATTTCATTAGGAAAGGCTTACTATTTTATATTTTGGAAGGTTACTCATAAAACCAACTTTTTCTTTTGTCCCTTTCAACATTTTTAGGTAGTTTCTCAGATCTGAGAAAGTATGACCTTATTTCAGAATTAAGACCAACATCAAAAATGAACACGAAAAAAAACTTTTCAAATCTTTGCAATCTGCTTAGTGTGCAAAACATATATCTGTCTCATAAGCCTCCAGAGTCTTTACTTCTAGTTAAAGATATCCTTACAGTGAGAATTCTTAAAGTACAAGAAAATTAAATTATAACAACTCATTGTTACTAAAGCATAATGATGTGCACTTATTTCACTCTTTCTTCCTTTAGACCGGACAAAGTAAATAAGGAAGCTGCTGACCTTGCCCTCCAGAAGTGTTTTCTGATTGTCAAAATCATTTTAGAAGAATTAAGGTTATTTTTTTTTAAAGATGGTGTTTTATTTTAATGATGCTTTGAAATTCCTTTTTAGCCAAAAAGAAATCCTGTTAACTGTGGAAGAAAATTCAAATCCTGATGATAATATCCTTGACAAGTCTGTGCTTCTCTGGAGTAAATGAGATTTTACTGTGTTTTCTTTCATTTTCTCTTTTCATATTTTAGAAGAATGAAAAATAGTTTCTAATGAATCACTGATCCTCCTCTTTTCTTCCTTGTCATATTATTACCCTTACTAGGAAACATTCCCATAAATATATATCTTCTTTTTCATATCTTCATAAGAAAGAAAAAAGCATTTTACAAAGATTTCTATGGTCATCTTTTCAGTCTGAATTACTGCCTCTTTTCACAATATGCAGATTAATTCATGACATTTGGATTTTATTCTTTAAGCTCCTTTAAAGTGCACATATTTATTTCATACATGTGTATGTGCTCTAGCACAAACTATATCTAAAATAAATAAATACACATCAGTAAAGCTAAAAGTAGAAAGACGCTTTATATCAAAGAGCTCAGCATGGAGTGCCAACAGTGCAGTAAATATTACAGAAGGATAGCAACAAAGGAGACACTCATGGCTCTAGTTAACAAAAACATGCAGCTGTACACGTGCAAGTGTGTAAGGCAAACATCATAAATACCTTTCACGTTCTTTTGGGAAATGCTGGTCATTTAATAGCTCAACCGGGCACAACGCTCACACCCTCAGGAGCCCCAGGTGAAAGCCTGCAAATAAGGGAGCAGCATTCAGTCTGCTAGAGGAGTGAGGCTTTTCTGGTCAATGTTTTTTGGATTTAGCTGAAGAAAATGTTGCCAGTCAAGTAATGAGATGTATCTTAATTAGAGATCTCAGAATCACAAACTGAGGCTGTTTAAAGCTTGGAGGAACAAAAATAAAGACAGAGCAGGTAACTCTATGTGCAAGGAATTTCTACATTTGTAATTTTTTACTTTGACGAGAGTGCAGAGGAAGTCTCGGTAAGAGTTCATTAGAAAAACCACCCTTACAGGTTGTGTCTTCATGGATAATTTGTCTATAATAATACAGAAGGGAAGGAGTCATGAAACAAATAAGAGTAAGAAGGATCTTTTAATACTTCCAGCCTACCTGCAAGCACTAGGAGTATTCACAATGGATAAGATGCTGTAGTTTTACAGGCTATGGTGAAGGATACGTTCTCTTGTGACCATTGTCAGGCTTGTGATAACACCAGATACCACTCTCATCATGTTGTCACACAGAGTTCCTAAATATGTGCATTACAACTTCTAAAGGAGTGTGCAGGGTGTGCGAGCTCCTGATCATTCTCTACCAGAGAGAGACACCCTGACTACAGGATGCAGTATATTGTATCCTGTGAAAAAAACCTGATACTATTTTCTCTAGGCTCAAAATGTCCACTTGAGGAGACAGACTGCCCTGCATGCCTCCACTAATTACTCTCTGCAAGATCTGGACAGGTGGATTGCTCACAACCAAACATGGAATCAAAGTGTTACTTCCCAACAGAACAACTTACAACGATTATTCTAAATTGGCATGACCTAAACATTCCCTTTCAAGGGAAAAGAGATTTGCAGAGCAAAGAACAAGGGAAAACTCATACAACCTCTTTTTCCTGACTTTTTATGCGACTCCCATCTTTCTTGCTGCTATGCAGATAATTTTATGGTTTTGGGGTTTTTTAACTGTAAGCTTCCTGCTAAGACTAAGGTAGGTGAAGATGGTAAATGAGCTCTGACAGGGTCTTCAAAATTTATATATTTGATATTGTTAAGGCTATTCCTAGATGCTTTCAGTACTACTGATTTCATAAGTTGTATTCTCTTTATTCATTATGGGCAATACTTGCTTCAATTTTATCTTCTGTTGAATATTTTGTTCCTATTTTTAACAGTATATATGTAGAAGAAAAAAGAAGAAAAAAGAGTAGAAGGGGTTTTGGCAGATTTCTTGAAATTAATAGTAACCCTTCACAATACATTGCTACCTTTAGTGAAGAATTTAGCCTAAAGTTGATGCAATTTACTTTCTTAGACTCTGAAAAGGAACACTCCAACAATACTGTTTAATTAATAATGGGGTTATGGATAAGGAATGCATATTTAGCTTCATTTTAAGGATCTTAATATTTGAAAGTCTTTAGAATAATTTTCTTGTTAGATTGTCAAAATGTGGCCTTTAATCTACGACTATTCCCTAAAATGGTACCACTAACATGGAAAGAAAAACCCAGCTGAGAAAAACATTAATATTTATGAGCAATCTATTGGGCAAACACTACAGGAAATTGGTATCACTGAATGTATTTGTACCATGCATGTGACCCAGCCTTTCTCCACCCACAGTCAGTCACAGAACAGAAAAAAACTTCTGAGTTCAATTTTTATTGTATCTATTTACAGTATCTATATCTTGCTCAGACTTAAGACAACACGGAAGATTTCACTAATAGAAAATTCATGTGACTTTTGGAAGCAGCAGAGTTTGTACGAATTTCTGAAGCAATACTGATTTGAGTGGAAGCAGACCCCTGCAGGAAGCGTTTGAAAATTTTGCCCTCATGTTCTTGGATAGGAACAGGTATATAAATTCCCTCTGCTTGCACTAATATCTCCAAAGAAAATGTAATTTATCTATTGCTCTGACTTGTATTAACTCATGATATTGGGAAAGATGACAGAGTGCTAATAATATTGTATTTTTATAGATAAACACATAGAAGAAAAATGGATGATAAAAGAGAATTCAGTTCAAAGGAAAAGACATGCTGACTTTGATGTTTCCCACAGGTGCAGATCCATTTACCACGATGGGCCTTTCTGAAGGGTTTTTGTTATTTAGACTTCCAACATTAGGATATCTTTTTAGTTGAAACCATTCATATTGGCATACTGAATCTTGACATTATTTTAATATCTATTTAGCAAGAACAGGATTCTCTGATCAATTGGTATAGCTAGTGATCCTTTTATCCATGCCTACCTGAGACAAGTTCAGCAATTTTAAGGGGTATAACTTACCCACAAATTGTTCATGTGCAGATCAGAGAAGTTGAGGTGCATTTTTACATATACATTAAAAAACGTTTATATATGAATATACACATATGTGTCAGTATACTTGTTCACATATCAGTGGATCAGAGGAGGGCAGCTCAGAAAATGGTAGGAAAGAGGTGAGAAAGTGCACATTTAAATCTCCATCATCTCTCAGAAACATACATAACTGCAACTCTTTTATCAAATAATCCTTAGGCCTTCATGTGCATATGTTACACCAAGTAAACCCCATATCTCACAGACTGTCAGGTTAAATGTACTTTTAGGCTTTCCCTGATGGCTCACACAGTTTAAAACAGCCTCTGGGCTGCAGGTAGCCTGTCCCATTTGGGACACTAAGGAAAAACCTATAGTTTGTGAGTGTGCTGGAGGGTACATACACATGGAGTCTGGACAGATCACAGCTGTGAAGTTCCTGCCTCACTAGGCAGTGTGATCCATCTTCTACCACTTGTGTTCTCCATGTCCTCCATTCCTTTACAGGAATCCTTGCCACAGACTGGAGGAACTTTTCAACAAGGAGGCTGGGTGCTATCTGTGCAGGGAGGGAAGAGACAGTATTCCAGGAGACAGGTACGAGGGGGCCCGTGCAGGACAGCCAGCTGAAACATGACCCTGTGGATGAAAGAAGGACACCACAAGTACAAAAAAAGACTGTTTTGTTTTTCCTCACATCCTTGAGGATAATGGTACAAAAGCTGGTGTGGCTGCAGAGCTGAAGGTTTTCTCTCAGTACAGAGCACCAACTCTTCATGGACTTCCATAATTCTCTCGGGGTTGGGGAGATGTGTGCTTTGACAGGGAATTGTGCCCAATGCATAGGAAGCTGTCTGACACCTAAGCCTCTATTTGTGGCAGAGCCCCTATTTGCACCATCAGTTGCTCAGGAATTGCGGGATAAGGACTCTTCTGGTGCAGAAAGGTTTACCTTTTTTGGACATTTACACCCATGGGTTTTAATCAAGTTGCTGAGAAATATCCTATGTGCAAGAGCGAAGTGAGCACTTGCAGAACTGAAGCTTTTCTCAGATTTTTTGACATTTTCACCCCATTTTTATCTTCTGTCTTGGGCAGTCATGCCTCAGTTGTGGCTCTATACAGTCCCTATTGCCACAGAAGGGACTTAGAGCTGTCTTAGAGTCACACAGAACCAGTCCTCTGTGTTCTGCTTGATTAACTGGTGAGGAAAGTTCTCCCACCTAAAGGCTTCTGAATATTTCTGCTCTTCCTTGTACCCCTCCAGCCTCACAAGCGTCAGCAATCACAGCATGCTTATCCACAGCTTGCAAATCTTTCACATAGATGCAGCGTGGTGGGCTTAGGGGATGTTTTTAGGAAACAAATGAAATGCATATGTTGAAATGTGTTTGTGAAGAGTGATGCAAGGGTTTGGGGATCAGGGGATTTGTGAGGTGATGCATGAAGTGCAGTGAAGTCATAGACTGCTGCTCAGGTATCTACAATGCCTAATTGTTTTTATTGAAGCTTTAATGAAAACTCAAAAAGTTGAATTTTGACTTTAATTTTTGAAAACAGTTTCATTTTAAAAAAATAAAATCTCCTTGGAAAATTATTTCAACCCAATAACTTTTATCTTTAGCCGTAGAAGAATGAACTTTGAGTTGGTTCTGCCACCCTCTCTAAGCTTGGCTCTTTACACCTTACATGGCTGTAAGATAGTGGTTAGTTAATATACAGTGAAATGTCAGACAATGCCTGCGCATATCCCTAAGCACAGACAGAACTGTAAAAAGGGAACAAGAATAATGAACAATAAATGAAAGCCCAGAGCACTAAATTCTGCACTTTTACTTACAATAATTAATGTATTACCTCAAAGATAGATTAACTGTTCCATTAGACCCCACATATACTTGGGCGTCATTATCATCAGTGTAAAACAAAGAGGCTGGCCTGAAAGACTATTTTTTTGTCTAAACAAATGAGCAGAAAAGCATATCCATATCACAATGTTGCACATGGAAACAAACATAAGTGTGTATCTGTTACCTTTCTTTTTGTTTTATATTTATTTTCTCTGCTCATTCTTCTTTCATACACTTTTCGAAGAAGATGTTGATTTTGCCTTCCATTCAACCCAGCTTTTAGAGAAGATTTCAGAAGTAAAAGGAAATTTAGTGTACTAAAAACAAAGTCTAGTTACAGGAAAGATAAAATGTAAGTACTCCTTGCCAAAACTGTTGTGAAGAATTAAGTGTGTAAATTTATTCCCCTATTTACATATGTATGGTTTCTTAATATAGCAAAACCTAGGCATTCATACTGGAGTGTCACTACTGTAGTAAATGAAAAAAAAAAAAAAAAAAGGAGGAGAGCCCCAAAAAGCCTCTAATAACTTCTCAAATACAACAATAGCCACAATAAAAAGGAAGAAATTCCATTTCTATTTCTTTTCCCCACAGCAGAGATAGCTGGCAGTATCTCAGGCTGAGCAAAGGACCATCTTCCTCTTGGACATATAATCCAGAATGCCCTGCTAAGAACAAGGTAAATATCTAGCTTTGTATTACTGATGCCACTGTATCCCAATAAAACTAAAATATTGGGAGTGTACTAGATATTTAATTAATATAGAACTACATTTCTTTGCTACTCATGCTGCCAGTCCAAATGAAATGCACAAAATCAAAGTGACTTTTGGAACAGCAACCCTAGTAAAAGTATGGGTCAGGTTTAGCACATCTTGGAACAGGGAATATCAGAAAGCGAATAAACTACTGCATGAAGTGAATTCCATTAGTGTGGATAATGTTTGGGAAATTTTGTGGAAGCACTGAATTCAGAGCTTACTAATTTATTGAGACTTTAGGAACCAAAGGACACAAAACTTAGATTTGTGGCATACTTGGATCTGAAGAAATCCTCTATCAGAACACAAACAGGAGCTGAATTATAAACACCTTTCTTTAAATACTCCCTGATTTCTCTTCTCTTTTGTAAGTCACTAAACTGTGCCCTGAACCCTCCTAACAGATTGGAGTTTGCAGATTGACACTGCTTCCCTTTCCCTCATTTCACAGAGACAGCCTCCCAGTGACTCCATCAGCCAGTGAGTAGAAAGATTTTTGGTAGCAAACTTGGATCTGAATGCCTTTACTTTTAACCAGCACTACACTATTCTCAAGAGAGTCCTACAGGATTGGTGGAAGGAAATGTTGCACAATGACAACTCATTAGAATGGACCATTTACTGGCATTGTTGACAAAAGCACCAGAAAATTGTAGCAAATATGATGAGTGTATTTTTGTTCCTCAAAAGGAGAGAACAAAGGATGTCATCTTATATATCAGGAGTTCTATTATCATTACAGTGCAAGGATTCCATATCACCAGAGTTTCATACCTCACCAATGTTTCTCATAGGCAGCTCCTCTAACCACTGACAGTTCCTGATCCTTGCAGCAGTCCTCTGACTCCAGTTCCCACCAATCCACTCTTTTATAACACTGTTCTTTTTGGCTACAGGTGTGACCCATTAAGATCAGGCCTGCTCCTAATCTTTAGTAATTGGTCCAGCTGCAACTCGCTGGGGGATAAGATTACATTCTATACCACCTTCATTTACCCACACTGCATCCCCCTACAAAAGGACTACTCACATTTATGACTTTCTGCAATCTCAAGCATGATAGTTCATAAAATATGAATATCCTTAATATGAGAGATGGTGAAAAATGATATCGATCTTTGAATTTTTGAAATTCACATAAAAAGCAATTTATACTTCCAGAACTGATATAATAAGTGTTACATGGGCAACTTGATTCATGGAATATCCATTATTGTAAGGTGGTCCAAGTTAGTGAATCAGTTAGTTATCAGCAGAGCCTGAATAAAAAGTGACAAGATTAGTTGACATCAGAAGACATGGTCTGCAAATTATAGAGAATGAAGTTCTTAAATATTTGTGTCATTGACTTCTGTCAGTCATCTCGTTTCCTGCCACCTTTATTGTAGAATCATAGTCTTGTAAAACAAATATTCTATCCCACTTCCAGCAGTTATAGCCTCTTAATAAGGAATGTATACAACATTCTACAATAAAACTGCAATAGAAAATCCTGGCTCCAAACTTTACTCAATATAATCATAACCACTTTTTGTTTATAATTTGCTGCTGTGTGTTCCTGAAATACTTGGCTTTGGGTGGTGATAGTTAGGTGAGTGCACTGTATATAGTTCAAGGCCTTAGAATTCTGATGGTACTGAGTTACCCAGGAAGAAAATAGAAAGAGATAATAGTGTTAGGTTTGCTACCTAATATAGCGCAGGCATATTTATTACATTAATTAACTTTACAGAGTTTAATAGAATTTTATTTCAAAAGTTACACTTTTTTTCTACTTTCAGAGCTATAACAGTATTTATGTTTGCAGATTAGAAAACAAGAACAGTTTGTCTGGATTTGATTCAAGTCTTTATAATCCTGTTATATACATTTTTCTCCCCTGTGTTCATAAAAGGCTGCGAGTTGATAAACATCACTTACTTGGCACAGATCAGCCATTTTCCAGGCCATATACCTGAGAAAAGTACAATCCACAAGCCAAGTGCAGCAGGTATTTTAGTTCATAAAATGGAATATGTGTCTCCAACCTCCTCTAATCAAAACGGAACAACATCCCTTGCTATGTGCATTGGGTTTAATACCATATGGTAGCTGATTGGAAAAGAGGTAAACTTCTGGAATTTCATCAGCACAGCCCCTGGTCAGCTCCATGGGATGAAACAGGGGAGCTCTGCCTTGGTACTCCCAGCCCTTCATCTCCTCTGTATCCTCAAACTTTGAATGTTTGTGCTGGGAACACAGAAGGCATGTAAAGAATATCTATAAGATGTTGGTGGCTTATTTTCTTCATGGAACAAGCTGCCCAGCCATGTCTTTTTTTCTTCTTTTGATGCTTGTTGACAAAAACTAATACACAAAGCAGACAGAGGTATCTCTATTTCTGGCACTCTCAGCACAAGCATGATGAAAGGATGTTTAAGAGGCATCTGACTAAGACAGTTATTTTAAAACAACAGAACTACAAGTGGACATTTCTGTGCCTGTCATGTTACCTAGGGCTTTAAACTAACTTGAAATATCAATTTCCATGTACTGAAGAGAAACTGAGAATGTACATCATGCCAGCTTTCAGAAAAATTAGGGTTTTAAAATTATGTTGCAAATACTATAAGCTCTCTTTTCACTTCTTCCACAAATTATTCATTCATACATACAATGAATTGGGTAGAAACTACTTGTGTATGATGTTCTATTGGGAATGTGCTGTCCAGTAGTATTTATCAGCTGATAGCATAGTATGTAATGTCATATTTTAGATAATGTTCTACTGGCTAAAATTTCTGATGCTGAATGCTTACATTCCTTACTGTGTTCTTCTCTGCTGTCCACTTGAAGGACTAGTGTGGCAAAGATTTACTGGATACCTAGATTTTACGTGCTCAGTAGAAGGTGCTTTTCTACCCCCTGCTCCAAGCCTCCAAACTAATTTGCGAGTGTGAATCACTCCTGATCTACTGTTTCTCAGATTTCTGGACAGTGTAAAATATCAGTCTCAAAGCATCTGCATCTCTAAACTCTAAATATCAAACTTTTCTTAATTAACTTTGATTACCTCATTGCTTAAATTGATACTGGAAGAGGGAATATAAAAGCTAGGGAACTGTTCATAACATATATCAACATACTTTCTTTACTGAACACCTTCTGTTAAAGCTCACATTCTGTAGTTGGAGTCTTAAGAATTTCTAGTCTTCCTTTCAGGACAAATTTCAAGCAAATAGAGTGACATTTAAACTTCTAAAATCATTAATCTACATTTTAACCAGTTGAAGTTTCACTTCTTTTCTGTTTGTCTTCTTTTTAGTTTCAGTTCTCAAGGTCATATTCATCAGTTTCCAAAGGCTTGGCTTTTTTTTTTTTTTTTTGCAGCAAGTTAGATGAAGAGCTAAATGATTATTTTGTAGTAAGAAGATGAAAGTTAGATGAACCTTGACATATCACTCAGGGTATAATTCAGCAGTGAATTCATATCATCAGGATTTATCTACTTTAGAAACTAAACAGTTAACCTAATCATCTCTTTTTATTACTAATTTAGAAAAGCTTTTTTTCCTAAGTACACTCTCACTTTTCTGAATTCACTGCATGTGACCTGCATCTTTTGTCCACTGCACCATTACCAGCAGCTAATCCCTCTTATTTATTGATAATTGGACAAAACTGAACAACATGCCAACTCCTGAAAACTGAACACCACTAAGACCTCTATTCAGGTTTTCCCCCAAAACCACATTGGTTTCCAAGTTAACTTCCTTTGTGGAATATCAATGGAAAAAGAGTTTGCAATTCTCTCATGGGTTAGGAATTCCACTAATTCTAACCTGCACATTGCATAACTGTGTGAGATGTAGGAATACGATGTACTGGGGCTCAGAAATGAACACAGGAATGGGAAAGGAAAAACTCATTTAATGTTTTTTTAATCAGTTTAGCTTGCCATGTTTCCTTGAAAACAAATGTTCATTGTTAGAGTCATATTGGTCAATGGGTAAGTGGTGATTAAGCAATCAGTATTTGTGAAATGTGGCTTCTTAAAGTTTTAATCACATTTTTCATCATTATTGCTTTTGTCAAACACAACCTGCATTACTAATGCTTTGTCAAACAATCACTACCATATATTCAAGATAATGTTGAACTTACAACCATGTTTCCCTGGAAAGCATGTTTCTCTACAGGTTTATGTAAGAAAATTGCTTGGTGCACAGCACATAGATAACATAGTGTAGGGAAAAAAAAAAAAAAACAAAAACCCCCCACTTTTGAAAAAATCATAGTTATCACAATTTTCAATCCTCCTAAATAGGAACTCCCTATGGAAAATTTTGCAATTTAGAAACAGTAGTAACAGTGAGCCATGCTGAACTTCCCCCTTCAGCAAAATTTTCTTTTATGCTTTTCTTGATTTGCCCCATCTCTGCACAGCCTTTCAAATACCCAGCTACACTGATCTAAAGATGAAGCCAAAAGCCTCCCCTTGCAGAAATCAGGGAAGAGAATAGAATTCCTGTGTGGCATTTGACAAGACTGTCTGTGTGTGAAGTCCCACACTGCAGTACCCAAGCAATTTGGGAGTGGGTTATCTTTGGAGCAGGAGGTACTGCATATGGGCTTATTAGTCCTGTCTGTCAGGGCTAAGCTACTTTAATGTGGTTTTATGGCTCCTGCGTCACATGCTCGGATCCGCGCTGTACAGACTCAGCAGCTTGCTCCGAGCGCGCCAGAGTACGTCCAACACAGCCTTTCATTGTGAAGCACAGACATGTTCCAAGAGTCTCTGCTTGCCATTACTCAATTTGGGAAATGGATATGAGTAATTTTTCTGTAGAGAGGCTGGCTTTTAGCTAGGGAATTTAGGAAGAACCATCACAGAGTGATCATTCAGAGGCAGATGAAAAGAATCTTCTCCATCACCATTTTTTTCCCTCTGTCAGCTTCCCTGGCAGGAAATCATGTCTCACTTTTAACAAATAGATTTTTTTAAAGAAAAAGTGACTGTTCCCAAACAGTCTTGTATGAAGGGGCAGAAAGAAACATTATTTACACATGGTGTGAAATGGAGTAATTTATGTGTTTTAATCTTGCAAATAATTTCAATCATATATTCAGAGCATATCGCCATTGTCTGTCAACTTTAATTTCAGAAATTGGAAAGTATAATGGCTTTTCTTTTCATTTACAGGGTGGATAAATGGTATTGTTAGGGTTTATTTAAGGAGAAGCTGGAGTGTCTCCATAACACAGCATGCATATCTGCAGAAGCCAAGAATGGGTCCTTGCCCTCTAGCTCTGAGAGGAGAGAGGTTGCCAGCAAAGATAAATAATAAAAAAAAAAAAAGAAGCAGTAATAATCCACAGGGTAAAAGACATATATATGACCAAATCCTTTAGTTATTGTATGTTGACAGGCTTACTGACACCAGTATTGAGTTTCATTAATTTCCATAGGCAGAAATAGTAATTCACATTACTCTCAATGAAGTCAATGGTAGAAAACTTTCGATCACACACATAGGAGGAAAACTAAGTTCAAAACTATCCTCACAGTCAACTTAATAACTTTCTTTTTTTACAGTGTGATTTTTTTTTTCAAATATGTTCGCAAATATGTGTTGAAAATTACAGAAAAATCAAAAGCTTAGAAGCAAAAGCTAGTGCTGGAGTAAGAGTATGCACAAAGTAATTATGCCATACTTCCAAGTCAAATAAAGTGCATGTTAATTATCACTAAATTAAAAATTATGACATGAATTTTGTTCCAATCTTGGAGAACTTGGCCCTTGCCCTGACATGAAATATGAGAATAAAATAAGTAGTTCTTGCAACAGGAAAAATTACACTGTAAGATATTCCTATTCATCTTCCTACTTCTCTAACCTCTTGAGCTGCCATTGCATCCTGTCAATGGGAAGAAATGACAAGACAAAAGGAAAATATCATTATGTGGCTTTGGAGAATGACCTTCCCAAATTACTTCTATACTGGTACCTAAAAGCACTGAAAAAAATCCGTTTCTGTGAAGAACCTAAGAGAAATCTTAACCATGATACATTTAAATTAATAATGAAAAACTACATGACACATCATGGTCCTATTTGTGGGTCCATTGTTAATGTGTGTACACAGCATGAGCATGGGATTTTGTCTGAAACAGTAAACATAAAGCATTGTTGGCACTTTCTGTATTTTTCATGGGGAAGTATTTTCTGCCACAGCTAGAAGGGAATAGGTAACCCATATTCAGTGGCTAATATTCTTACATTTACAGTGTTTGCCCATGATGAGCCAGGATCTTACTTTCAAGTAAAGAAAATGGTAAGTGGTGTGAGAAATGTTTCTGGTATTATTAACCTCAGCCAGAACAGATTCACAGGCTTAGTCACACTCAGAAAAATAATTATGTTGTCCATAATTAATAAAACAGCATAAAAAATAATGCTGTTTTCTGCCTTGTTTTGCTGATGAGTGTTGCTTTCAGAGCAATTCTTGTGTTATCTAGGAGATATGCAGAACACTGTGATGTATTGACTCAGAAATTAGGTATACAAAGTATTATTTACCAAAAATTAGCCTCTCTCAAAGGCTAAAGTACAATAAACTGATTTGGGACAATACCAATTGTCAAAATTTGAACTAAAACTTCTCAAACCCCATTTCTTAAATATAAGCTTCTAAATCTATAATTGTCCAGCCAGGAGATTTTCATATGGTGTAGGTTCAAAAGCCTAATTTTGCTCCCTAACATAGACAATGAATCTTCCTATAGACCACAGAGTAACCTGAGAAGATGAGTTAGGAGCCTGGCAATTTCCAGTCACGGTCAGCTTTGGTTTAAAAAGAGCTTAAAATTTTAGTACAAAGAGTAAGAAGTCACCTTAACTTCACCAGTGTGAAAATCTCCCTTGCACCTAGATAAGTTCTTCAGGAGAAGATGAATATTCCAACCGTTTTATTGGAATAGAAGGGATCTAACACAGGAAAAGTAAGAGAAAAAAATTAAGCACCAAAATACTTGACCACTCCCTAAACATAATACTCGCTTTTCCTTTTATAACAGTTGTAATTATACTAGATTTCTTGGTGCAGTTTCTTACATCCATGAGAAGAAGCCACTGACAAGGTTTCATTCGCATTTCTTTCTTTTCTCTACTGTAAAGTTTAGGTAGTGGGAAAACATGGTAGTGCAACTGCCAAAATGTTTTTCATCCTGACAGTGGAAAGACAAAAGGTTCACTAATGATGAAATGTTTATCATCAATTCAATCAATTCCTGACAGGGAATGAAGGTGGACTGTTTGATATTTAAAGGATATAAAGGACTGTTTGATATATGCTCAGAGGATATTGAATTATCCAAAGATCACTTCTAAGGACAAAAAAAAAAACAAACAGAAAAAAGCCCAGAAAACAACACACCATTTATGGAGACAGAAAGGTTCGTGCATGTAGGTCCTAGATCTAACTTACCCTTAACCTTGAGTGTCCCTTATTTCCTTTCTCACTAGCCATGAAGTCAAGAAAAATGAGCAAAAAATGCAAGCTGGGGGCACTGTAGCTAAAAGAGAAGGAAAGAAAAAATCACTTTAAATTCAGAGTTTAAAGGGTTAAAGAAGTAATACTATTTAAACAGGGTTGCAGAACTCCTACTAAAAATGGCAGTACTATAAATGTTCTAGTATTGTCAGGAATGTTCTGTTGGATGACACTATACTGTGATTTGTACACACAGCGGACCAGAGCTGATGGGTGAATGAAATGATCCATAACCCTCACTGACACATTTAGAGCAGTTCAGCTGCACACAGAGAACAGTCCATCATTTGCACCCTTCTGTGAAAGCTGGCTTTACCAAGTGTTTCAATGAAATATGTGCAACTTCCCATTTAAATTAGTACCACATGAACCATGAAGAGCACCACAGGTATCTGTTGTAGTACCAGCCTAATGCAAAAGTGGCCTGTCTTGTAATGCTCTAACAGGAAAGACATACAACCATTCATCTGTAACATATTAAAACCAGAAGAAATAAATTACTCTATAGATGAAGAATTATTGCTTGTGGAGAGAATGTGCAAAGGTAGTTCTAAAAAGCAGCTTTTACTAAAAAATTATTGCAACAGCATTTGAATTCCTAATGCATATTAAACCTAGTTCGCATAATCATAAATCATCATTTTTAAATCAAGAAAATCTGCTTGAAACTTTTTAAAGGTTTATTTTACTAGTTCAGAACTATTTCAGCATTACCACTGAGGGAAGCACAGTAGGAGTGACTATAAGGGTGAAATACAAAACTTTACCATTTGCCATGAAATAGCTCTTTGGTCCCAAGTTTTTCAAATTTAACAGAAAGAATTGCATAAGTCTAAAAATGGCTCATGAACATACAGGTGACTAAAAAGAATTGAATTCCTATGGGTGAATTTGCTCTCCCATGCAACGGCTTTTCTTAAATAGTCTCATGTAGTCTAGCCTTCAAGGCAGAAGATTTAGAAAAAGCAATGAATTTACCCAAATCTACAAAGTGTTTATATTAATTTTAATGGGAAAATTAATCTCCAAAAGCTCATTCCAAGCAATGTACCTTACGCTTGATAAATCCTGAGCTAAACACAAACTAGTTTTCCAGGTGGTAGATACTTAGTACTTTTGGAGTGGTGTGCAGGAGTTGATGCACACATGCCTCTTGCTCTTGGATTAGGAAACAGTACCAGTGTGAATAAAGAAACATCTCTACATCTACCCAATAGGCTAGAGACGTTGCTCACTGGTATTTTCAAATATAAAAACAAGGACAAATGGGGTTAGTATCCTCTAGTCCAAATTTTTCAAAAGTATGCCTTGAATATCAACTACGGGATGCAAAGTAGCCTCTGGGAAATCAGTGCTGCTCCAGCTGCATCTGGTTAGAAAAGTTCTGTCATTTCTGAAAATGAGACCTTTGTCTTCATTTCTAGCAGTGCCTAGAAAGCTGGCATCAGGTCCAGCCTTTCAAATAAACCAGGATATTTTGCACTTGTATCTGGCCTATATACAACAGCAATGTACTTCACATTAACGAACATTTTATATTCAAATATTCTTATTTTGACTTTTAAAGCCAAATAGATACTCTGTTTTACTATGTTGATATAATATTGTAAATGGAGAAAATGCTGCAGTGGGATACTCAATCTGAAACACATTTTGCAAAGACACCTTTTTCCTAAAGTGATGGACTATTGACATTTCTTCTCACTTGCAATGGTCCATAATTGAAGAACACAACTCAGTCCTTTGACTTTAGACACAAGGTGAAGAGCAACAAATGTTCATCTACCAGGGCTGCACATTGATTTAGGGAAAAAGTGATTTGGGGGCATAAAAGGAGCAAGCACTCCTTGAAGAATCAAAAAACTGAAATCAGCCCTACATTACTAGTAGACTGCTTATGCTAAATACTATTTTAAGTTCCATCCCTATTTAATGAATTTGTTTCCCCCATGAGTGTCAGGCACTACCAGAGAAACTCAGACGACAGCAGAGGTAGGATTATCTCCTGTAATTTTCCTCAAACCCTGTTCACTGCCCTTTTGCTTATGTCTCTGTGGTCTCTCAGACGCCAAAGTGAAATAAAAGGCAATATTGCAAAACTGTCACTTTTAGTCTGTGTACAGTCAATTAAATAGAATAGTATCATAAGATATTCAAACAGCACAAGTCTGGAGCTGCTGCTATATTGTGAATGATAGCTAAATAATCTTGATGACTGAGAGTCATTTATACCACTAATCTTGCTCTAGCAGACACAAAATACAACTCCATGTGTCATGAAATCTCTATGGTATTTCTGTCTTTGCTTAATATAACAGAATTTAAAATACTAATGTATTTACAGTAGGTTTTTTTTTAGCCTCAACAGTAGTTTGATTAGTATGTGAGCTCATATCTGTATTTGATCTAAATGGCCTGAATTATTGTGATGGTGGGTTGACCCAGCCAGCAGATAAGTTCCCACACAAGTGCTCTTTCACTTTCGCCCTGCAATGTGGGGGGTGGGACTTGAAAGGCAAAACCAAGGAAAACTTGAGGATTGAGATAAAGAGAGCTTAATCAGTGAAACCAAAACACTGAAGTAATATCACCATTGTTTTATCACAACTTCCCCCCCCTCCAAACCCAGAACCTTATAGATTACTGTGAAGAAAAAAAAAAAAAAATCTGTCCCAACCAGACTCATTACAATGATTTCTGTTACAGTCATTATTTAAGAAATCTCCCAGACAAAATGTCCTTTGCACTGACTGAAAGTTTTCACATCAAAATTTTAGAAGAAAACCCCTGTATTTCAGATAAAGAAATACAATGCATGTTGCTTTCTATATTTGTTTCTCTTTCCGGTTAGAACAATAATAATGAGATATATCAGTTTTATAATTCAAATAGACCATCAGCATCATAAGAAAATCAAAAAACATCTGAGTTTGGAAGGAACCTCTGGAGATAATCAGGTCCAAGATCCCTGCTCAGGCTATAGCAGGTTCCTCAGGGCTATGCTCAGTTTGGTTTAGAATATCTCCAAGGATGAAGACTGCAACTTTCCTGAGGCATCCAGTTTGGTCTTTGATCATTTTTATAATAAAAAAGCTTTTCCTTATATTTAGGTGGAATTTCCTGAATATCAGTTTGTGCACATCATTCCTTGTCCTGTTACTGAGCACCACTGAGAAAATCCTGCCTCCATTGTCTTCACTCCTCCTTCAGGTATTTATACACACGTGTAAGATCCTTCTAAACCATCTGTTCTCCAGGGTGAATGGTCACAACTCTCATGGAGAGAATCTCCAGTCCCTTAACTATCTTCACACACTTTGTTGGACAGGCTATGACATGTGTATGCCTCTCTTGTACTGCAAAGCCCAGACTCTGGCCCAGCAATCCAGATGTGCCTCACCAAGGCTCAAAAGAGGGAAAAGGTCTCTTCTTTCAGCCCTTGGGTGGTACTTCTCCAGCCCAGGAGCCAGCTGGCCTTCATTGCCACAAGGGCACACATTGCTGGGCTTTTTTGTTTCTGCAGAGCTGCTTTCCAGACAGTGAGCCCCCAGCAAGCACTGATGCCTGAGGTTACTCATCCCCAGAAGTGAGGTCGGACATTTTCCTTTGCTAAACATCAGCCACTTGCTGGCAGCCCGTTTCTCCAGCCTTTTGAGGTCCTTCTGAATGGCAGAACAACCATATGGTATGTGAAGCACTCCTCTCAGTTTCATATCAGCAAATTTGCTGAGGGTGCACTGTGGCCCATCACCCTGGTGATTAATTAAGAATTTAGACCCCCAGGGGTTCGTATACCTGGCCCAGCCCCTCTACTGCCTGGCTGAAATGGTTATCCTGAGTTCATTTGGTATCAGATCGTTCAAAAATACACATACAACCCCCCCCAACTCACAGGTAGTAAATATGAAATTATTTGATCACCCTACAGTATCTAAGTAATTGCTGACAGTCTTTGACAAAATCCTAGAGCAGGAATTTAAAGTAATGTAATTTGCTTTATATTAAGCTACTAGAATCCGACCTTCCTGTTACACTGATCTGTAAATCAGTGATGTCCAATCACAAATTACACAGAGGTGCAGACAAAGTTAATTCTAAATAAATGTGGGGGGTTTTTTTTCTTAAAAATTGAAATATGTTTTTTCTTGTGTTTATTTTTGGTTTGTTTTTTCTTTGTTGCTTGTGGTTTTTTAAATATATACTTATTTTTTTCTATTATCATTACAGCTGTCTGTAACCAAGCTGTGACAACTAGATGCATGCTCTCTGCAAAGTACTTAGGATTGGACTGAATTGGCACCTTACATATGGTATGGACAGTATCATCATCCTCTTTTGGGATTGGAGAAATGGTCCTTTCACCACCTGGCAGAATTTCTCCCTGCCATTATGCATCACCAAGGAGATGAAAAAGTCTGGATTGTGAGGAAACTAAGAGCAAAAGCAAGAGACATTTCCTTCCCTTATCTCGAGGGCTGCTTCCAGATTACGCAGCTGCAGAGTTCAGTGGTTGTATTTGCACGTGACGATCAGCCTCGATTGTGCTCAGTTTAGGTCAAACTCAAAACTCTGGAAAAGTCTTCCTGAAGTATTAGAACCTGTAAGAATAGTGAATTACTACATTGAATTTAAAATGAAATTATTATGTTCTTTTGAAAACTAAATTAATATATTCCTTGACATCTACCTACTGTGTATTGTGGAAATAGAGTAATGCAGCACTAAAACTCATAATCCACATTCAAAGAAACTAAAGTGGGTTTAGGTTTTTTTTTCCTAAACTGCCTGTTGAATTTTCAATTATACATTATACAGCGGTAAAGTGGAATAATTATACATTATACAGAAGTAAAGTGGAATTATTGATACACCTTTGTAATTGTATAGAAAAATGTCCATTTAAGATGTTATAATTTCTTTCTTCTGCACACAATTTTCATGACTTTCTGTGCTTTCTACACTGTTTAATATGTTTCTCCACTGTCCCATTAGGTGGGATATGCCACAAGATGTGTGTGTCCATTTGTAGTCCAGCAGGCAAATTACAAGTCTGGTCTTGTATACGAGTTGCTTGTATCACAATCAAAAGCTGATCAAGAATTGGTTTTCATTCTTATTAACTTGCAAGCTATTTTGGATTGACAATGGCTACACTGCTGAATATTCTTTGGTTTGGAGTTATGTCCAGCTAACTATTTTTAAAAGGGTCCTAAAAGGACTCTCACTGGAAACATTTCTAGAAGACATTACATATTTTTCACTTGGCCAGATCAGAGCACATTTTTATATCAATGAAGTCTGTTCAAAAGGCACAATGCCATAATGATAATTCACTACAAACAAAATAAACAAGATGTAAGATTGGAGATCAAATATTGGCAGCTAAGTGGCAAGTTTGCAAAGGATGAGTGAGCTTTCCCTGGGCTCTTCTATTTTTCAGTATGCCAAAACAAACAGACGGATACACATAAACTGCATGCAAGGGGTCCTTCTCGTTTTTATTTTTATTATTAAATGTTTTAAAATACATATGAGGTTAGTAAGTCAAGTATGGTGGCTCCATGTATAAAAGTAAAATATGAGTGGATGTGTTATTAGATAATATGCATTAAATTAGAAATAGACTGCTCATCTGTGGTTTAAGCGATAAATAATATTGACAAAATATGGAAAATCCTTAACTTTCCAGAACTTATTCAGCTTGCACTCTTATGTTGTATTCACAAATAATTTTCCTAAATAAAATTTTCAGTGGAATGAAATAGGCACTTGGAGTCATAATTATTATCATCTTAGAGTTACTACCTAAAGCAAATCCATGAATGCCTTTCTGAAAATGTCTGCTTTCCTTCCCTGATTATAAAGTGAGACAAAGATGGACCTCTAGACTTCATATTTACATTGAAAAAATTGAACTTTGAGCAAAAGGATCACAGCTATGGTAATTTGTTTGGGAAAGATGTAAACAACAGAATTTAGGAGGAAATGAAAATAGATGAAAAGCAAAGAAAATCAGTGTTTAGGTTTGTGGTAAATTAATTTGAGGGAAAATAGAATTAAAAGATTATATGCCAGCGGTGTAAACGGGTGTGAAAAAAAATATATCAGAAGAAAAAATAAACAAAGAGCACAGGTAAGATTCAGTTTGCTTGTGTCTATTCATAGTCTTCATTATGTGCCCTAGGAATCTTAAGCACCCACTGTAGTAAGTGGAGAGCTGTTCAATACAGCCACCAGGATGTAAAGAGCTTTTATGTCCTCATTCTACATATCTGATTTTGTTCCGTTGAACTGCTTTATGACTCCAATGCTTAAATCCAACAGTAAACAATCTCAGTCACCTAAATATGAGTAGTATTTGAGATACTCTTGTAAATTCTTTCTGACATAGAATCATAGATTTTTTTTAAGGTTGGAAAAGATCATTGAGTCCAGAACTGCAAAGCTCACCACTAAACTATGTCCCCAAGAGCCACATCCTCCCGTGTTTCAAATACCTTGAGGGATGGTGATTCACCACTTCATTAGGGAGCCAGTTCCAGTGCTTGATAATTCTTTCTTCCAAGAAATTCCTCCTAATGTCCCACCTGGAGCTCCCCTGGCACAGCCTGAGGCCGTGTCCTCTCATCCTGTGGCTGGTTGCCTGGGACAGAGGGTGACCCCAGCTGGCTACAGCCTCCTTTAGGGCAACTCCTGAGAGCACTACAGCCCTCCCTGAGCCTCCTTTCCTCCAGGCTGACCAGCCCAGCTCCCTCAGCTGCTGCTCGTAACACTTGTGCTCCAGACCCTTCACCAGCTCTGTTGCCCTCCTCTGGACATGCTTCGGAGAGGTTTTTCATGTAGTGAAGGCCTAGAGCTGAGCACCAGAGGAGGATCAGTTTTCACATCACTGTATTATATACCTAGGTCTCTAATCATACCTAACATGTAAATACTTTGGTTACCACAGGGTATTTAAATGGCTTTAGAAATATATGCATGATCAGTCAAATTGAGATACAGCTTTCCAGGGACTTAACAAGGAAACATGACTAACTGTAGATATCAGCATTTAGATATCTAAATTTAGATATCTGATTCTGGAACTAAATCCCTTTTCTTAAGTCAGGGCAAGTAGACTTCATCCCATGAACTGAGAACATTAAGGAGTCGTAGGACTGAAAAAAGTGTGTTAGAAAGAACATTGGAATTACTGAGAAACTTGTATCTAAAGAGGAAACAAGCTCAGGAACTGAAGAAATATATGACAGCAAAAGATGTGACTAGACACATGAAAGAATAGCAATATTTTCATACAGTAGCAGGTTTAGATATAGTTGCATATTTAGATATAAAACATATATCTATTTTTAAGATGAAGATTTTGAGTTTTATGACATAAAATGACAAACTCAAACTTCTGCGACAATGCATTAACTGAAGAACAGAAGATTTTGACTAATCATATAGAATGTAAATAGTAATATCAGTATCAAGCAAAAATAGAAGCACTATTATTTATCTTATTTTGTTCTGTTTAAATTATATTCTTCCTCAGATTCATATATTTAATATCATTATGTTTACAACATATTACATTAAGAAGGCCATCAAGAAAGCTAAATATTTTGGCAGATGTGATTGGCAGTCTGAAATGAGGGACTAAAAGAATCAGATTTTCTGATAAAATGATCATTGGAATGAAAGGTAAAGATATTGACAAGTGAGGCTCTCGGTATAAAGGTTAATAGCCTCCTTTGATGAATGGATCTCACTTGGCGTTATGTCTGGAAATGGGACACTGCTCCATTTAATACCCTTTTCACATCACAAATATTTTCTTTGCAATCATAACAGCTAGAAAACATTCTACTAAATAAAACAGCAATTTCTAAAAGACAGCTCTGCAAGAAGAGTAGATTGGTGACCTGTCACTGTGCTGAGGAACTGGATTGCAATTATTGTCCTTTAACACACATGCACAAATTTTCAACTTCTCATTAATTTTATTGGTAGTTTGACCAATTTTTAAAAAATTATGTGTCCATATTTTTTAAATTCAAATTATGTATGTCTAATGGTCAACAGAAGAAATTGTATGGAAATGTTGAATATTGGTAGCACATCTATGACATGGCACTTATTTTGTCCTTTCTACTCCTTCCCATTTCAAAGTGAATGCAATATCATTTGGAGAGCAGGGATGAAATATTGGTACACATTACCTCTTTCTGAACACTAGAAGAATAATTTTAATTTTAATGTTCTCTTTTGCTGGGTGTTTTCTTTTTTCCCCCCCATGATTTAATTTTCCCCTTTACTTATATTTCTAATCTAATATTAGTATACATATGTCTGTTTTTTATGAGGCACATTTATTTCAGGATAGTTTGACTCATATGGTAGAATAACATTATCACATGCTTAACTTTAAGTCAAGGAAAAAAGCAATTAAACACAAACATAACCATGAAATTGTCATATAAGCAAAGTAACAGGACTGCTGAGCAGCCTAACACAATAATAGTTCCCATACATCTGTGCTGTTCCATGCGTTGGGTTAACCTGTATCTGATATATTGTTGTAGAATAAAGGAAAAAGAGGAGATAAAGGAGAATGTCAAGATTTTGTGAAACTCAAAAGAATTGAAGGTTGTACATACTTTCGGAACACATGTAATCAAAAAGAATCTTCTATTATATATCTGTTCAATGTCCTGTATTGTGATGTTGGCTGCTCTAAGCAGTCTTGGACACGAACTTAAGACAGTAGAGGAAACTTTAAAATGTAATGTAGATTTCTGTAATGTCCTCATTGTGCAGTTTGTTATCTAATGGCTTGTTTAAGCATTATTCATTTTCAATAGATGGGAAGGTTTTCGAAAAGAGTTGAACAGTACAGCTGGTTGTGTCCAAAAAATGCAGGTTCCAGTCTGCTTTCTTAGGAAAACTGGAATGTCATACTTTCTGTAGAAAAGTCCTATGTAATCATACTTCCTGTAAGGAATTGTCATCTATACAACTATGTAATTTAACAAAATCAAAATACCACTGGAGGCAGGAGAAAGGGAGACTTCTCCTTTTCATTCTTTGCTGGAACTTGCAAAATATGTAGCAGTGTAAATATCTAGGACAATTTCAGAGACCAGCGTTTGGTCTCTTCATACAATTTGAGTGGCTGAGGGCCAGAAACATTCTTCAATATGTTGTCTGGTATGTTTAGAAAAGTGTTAATGAGGGTAGTTTCTGTAGATCACTGTAAAAGTGTTATGGCTAGAGGTAAACCTGTTCTCAGACATGTTCACTGCACATTCACTAGAAGTGAAACTATCTTGTTTTATGCCTTTATGAGCTTTCATTAAGAAAGGACAGATCAGCTACATCTGGGTTTAAGTTCCTTGTCTGAATGGACCTTGAATCTGAACTTTTTTATTCTGCTAACAGCAACAACTTTGTGATTTTAATTGGCCCTTCCATTTTCTTAATCTGCTGATAATAAAGACTAACTAACATGAAATAATGAATATATAAAATATTTATATAAAATTACATGGTAATAATTTAACCCCAGGACTGTGAAATAGCCTACAGTAATAAATCTATTTCAGATTTGCAAGGATTCACAAAAGTATAAATGTATTCATTAATTGAAAGAAAGATTATTATTTGTTATAAAATTTTGAATGGTTTTTTATGCAAAACTTATGTAAATATTCATCCTCTTTCAAAATGCTAACTGAAGAAATATAACCCAGAGATTTTGAAAGTTTAATAAATATAAAACAAAACAGATCAAATAATTATGTCTTCTTCAAAACCATCTCTAATTCAATAATGAAAGTAACATTATAGCAATATTCATTAAACACTTACAGGTTATTGACCTCCATAGTTGAACAGAACAGAGGCAGTCAGCCTTAAAGGACAAATATATCTTAATTTTTGTCATGGGTGGATTAATGGCTTGCCTTTATTGATAACATTTTCTATTCAGCTGCACAGAGGACTTACAGAATGAAGCAAAACAAAAGGATTAGAAAACAAAGAAATACTGGACACACCATTTATTCAATTTTTGATTGCTCTATTATCAAGTACAAGACATTCCTTTTAATATATTTACTCAATGATATTTAAGACTCAAAGTAAAACACAGTTTAGGGATGCTGTGAAAACCAGTTACGTTTCTATAAAAATGACTAAACTGGCAGAGTTAAATACCAGAACAATTTGGAAGATGACACTCTAGGAAGATTTTGCATTTACATGAACTGGATAGTGTCAGAAATTTGCTTGCATTTGGGGATTTTCTCCTAAAGGAAATAGTAAACAAACATGTTACCATTTGGATTACATGGTGTGCCAGCATATATTCTTTGTAGTTTGAAGGAGCATCCTATAGAATCCTTACTTTTATGAAGGAAACTTTTTAAATTTTAAGGTATATCAAGATTAATTTTTATCTATTACAATATTATTTCCTTCACTTAATTGTTAATTGTAAAAATTTTTTGGTTACAATGAATATATTCAAAATTGTAGGTTTGAAGGTAATTTTTGAATAACCATATTGTTCATATTTTCCAAATACACAGCTTAAGAAAAGTTTTCATGATTAATTGCTTCTCATTCAGAGTGGGTTACTCCAGAATGAAGCTGATGCCTTCAGATCCTCACCCTTTTTCTGTCACTTCTATGGGTC